CCTACAACAGGCTCAGAGGTTCCTCCAAGCTATTACTGGTGGGAATCTGGTTTCATGTACTGCAGATTTTGGAAGTCATACAGTGAACCAAAATTCATGTACACTGTTCAGAAAGTCAAAACCTAGATAAGTAGGATTATGCTTTTTCCTCATAGAAAAATGGGTTTGTTTTTAAATAAAATCTCTAGTTTTCTCTTTCTTACTATTTGCATTCATTGACAAAAAGTACACTGTTATATCACAGATAACTAACACATATTAGTAATCCCACCGTGTGCAGACAGCAGAGACACCCGCTGTACCTTTCATCGCAAAGGTAAATTAGGTGAGGTAAACCTCAAGGTGGAGGGTTCAAATTCACCACCTAGTAAAAGGTACAAGCACTTACAGGTCAGCACATTTATCATCCCCCTCTAAAGGAGAACCCTATCTGAACCCAAACCAACATGTCAGAAAGTAAAAATGGAGGGTTCAGGCTGAGCTGGCTGCAAAGCACAGCCTGCACACTTCAGCATATTTTCTGATCCACTAAAGCGTGTGCATGGACGCATGCACAACCTGCTCCTCTATTCCCATAGCACTTTCCAACAAAAGTTCACTTTCAGTTCCATCCTCAGTATCATCCGAAAGGGAACGATGCCCAGTCTGGGGCCAGAACCAGCTTGGCATATCCCGTTCAAATTGAAAAGGAAGAAACATGAGCCCGCTGAAGGCTGCCAGCACCTAAACCTCCACCACACCTGCTGCAAACTCTCACAGCTCCTTTTCAAATGAGTTCTCTCACTGTGGTGATAAATACATAGAAGAATAAAAATGTGTTTTGCTTTGGTTCACTGGGGCTGCAGGCTGTTGGTATAATGAAGATTTATGCATGGAGAAACAACAATCCCGAAGCAAAGCATTCATGTAAAACTCCATAAAAAAAAGATTAATCGGACCTTGTACAGAGAGAGGCTTTACCACACTACTTGTCAATAGTGGGATGAAACCCAGTAGAGGTTCACTGGACAGGTACCTACTGCACAGCTTTCCATAAATTACACCTGAAATAACCCCACAGAAGTTTTGATGAGAAGGGAGGTAAGGTGACGCCTTTCCGTCTAGCTACCACTGCTGATTTCCAACCCTTACAAAAACGAAGGCCAGTTTCTCAGCAGTTACCTGCATATTCTACAAAGCCCTTGACTTTCCCACAGGTTCCCATTTAGGAAGTAGAGAAAAGGAAGTGTGCAATTGCTATCA